ATAAACACACTGGTTTGTAATGCAAATAGTTTTGCCATTTACTGCACTTGTTATTCTTTTAGTTATTTGCCTATTGGCGGCTAATGAGTCTTGCACATAGTAAAGTAAAATAAGTAAAATAGTAAAATAGCTTACTCACACATTGCAAAATAAAGTGGATATCTTACTCTTTTATCTGGACCTTAAGAGTAAAGAGCTAACATGTTCAGGCCCGGATTAAGAACACATAGGGCCCTGGGGCTATAACAAACCCAAGAGCCCCCCTTCATAGTAATTGGTGCCACAATGTTTTCTGCCACAGGAATAATTTGTCTTTTTAAAAAGATAAAATCTCCAGCAAACAGAGATACATTGAGTATGTACACTAAATATAAAATAATAAATACATTAACACCAGATATTTGAAGTCAAAACAAACAGGTTTTCGAAAAAAAACTACTTTTGAGAATATATTGCTCCCTTAAGGAATATACTTTAAATAGTTTTATTAGTAGAAGTTCTTCTTTCTGGTCCTAAAAGAGGAAAATCATCAGGGCTGGATTGGTGCTCAAATTCGTCCCATTTAGCCCAGACATAAATGTTTTGCTGGGTTTAGGGCAATTGGAATAAATAAATTATTTATTAATAAATAACGAATGGAAACAAATAATAATAGATAATTTTGAATGTACCCCCAATGTCTGCATATTTTGGCATGCAATTTGTAATCGAATCTGAATTCTTAACATAATATAGTTACGCAATATAATCAAAAATATCAGCATGACTGCAAATGTGATATTAATTTTATACAGCACAGCAGTTCAATAAGCAATAACCTAATTATACTAATTGTCAGTTTTATAGACACAACATATACGTTTTGACTCTTTTTGCTCTATTTTCCCAACAGAAAAGTTGCTTCTCTCTGCAACATGCTGCATTCCATTCTCAAGGGCTCATCCCTATGCCCTAATTTCCTCAAGGGTTTATGCTTCAGAGTGAGAGCTTGGGTGAATGCTGTAGGGGACCAAAAATCTGTTCCTTGGAACGCACTTTACACCATCTTTACGAGACAATTAAAAAGGTGCCAGTAAGTGTGTTTAACTTGAACCAGCGCTGCACAGACCAATCGGTGAGAGCTATTTGAAAGCAAACGGAACCATCTGCTCCCTAATCGCTCTTGCGGTGCTTTGATGTCATACACTGACCAGTCTGTGCAAGGCCGCTTCAAGTCGAACACACCTAGGGCTAGATTTACTAAACTAGGCATATTAGCGTGAGAGTGCAATTCCAAAAAAGTGCCGATGGGAGTGGAAAGTTTTGTGGGGGATCTATTGCTATGTGCAAATAAAAAAAAAAAACACGTAAGAAGCCATATCTTTTTCATAATGACCAATGCAATCTACAAAGAGCAGCACAAATTAGCATAAGGTGGCAAAAAAAGCAAACAGTATTTTTGTATAATGTCTTTCTCTGGCATTCCAAATAAATTAATACAAGTGGAAAAATTTCTCTGTTCTCTGCAGTGCCTCTTGGCAGCAACAATCTCAACCATGTGAAGCACATAATGGGTTAAGACGTTTTTTGGGGTGGTAAATAAAGGCACAAATGCTGGTAAATTACCACAAACCTTAGTAAATAATTGTAACAAAGTTCGTAGTCACGGGAAGAAGGAGGCGGGAACCGGCGAACGTTCAAAGAAAACTTTAATAAAATAAACAAACACAAAATGAAAGTAAAGCAGCAGCCCCTCGCGGACGACTGCCGCACACAAAATAAAATCCAGGCCTGGTCCTCTCTCGTCTTTCACTGTCGTCACTCCTCCTTTTATCCTTCCGGAGCTCCTCCGTGGGACTCGAGACCGGTGAGTGGTGCAGGTGTCGCTCATTATCAATTACTCCACCGGCCTCGCTCCGTTCCCACGGCTCTCGGCCCCGCCCCCACTCGTCACAATAATGGTGTGTGATTCATTTAAATACTCTCCTCCCATAAATGTTGCGTCTGAAAGGGAAACTCCTACAAATGCATATGCAATAAGGTCAGCCGCAAAAATGACTTTTGTGAATGTTCACGCCTTTTCGTTGCAAATGTTTACTGCACGCCTTTAGTAATTCCTGACAGTACTTTTTTAACACCAGACTAGGGTTTACACTGGTGCAAGCTGTTAGTAAATCTGGGCCCGTATTCACAAAACATCTTAAGGATAATAGTAGCTCATAACTCGCCGATTTAGGAGAAAATCTTAAAAATAATGGGTGTGTCAGTCCTAAATTTAGGATTTCTAAATTTGTTATCTAAAAGTATTTCACTAAGCATTTTAGCACTAAAACTAGCTCCTAAATCTGTGAAACGTTAGGAGTAG